CCTCAGTCCCGTAATCCCGAAATTTATTTTCGTAATCGCCCATCCTGTACATCCCGAATCTCGTCCCCATTTTGCTTCAAAATCCCGATTCCAGGTCTTCAAATAAGGCAAATCCCGGCCGTCTAAAAAACCTATTGTAAACCTCACTAACCGGCCGAGTATTGTGATATTTGGGGAGGTGAATGGAAATATTAAAAGTAAAATTAGAGAACTGGCTGCCAAGAAGCCGAGCCAGGCAGCCAGTCAGCATTTAAATACACTCCTTTTTTATAAGAATGTTGTTTTATTTATTAGTCGATTTTAGGCTGAAAATATTCCTAAATTATTCTTAATTATAAATTATAGCTTATGATTATGGCACTTCCGCTTTAGATTTGTTTTGGATCAGGCTCAATCAAATGTAAATGAGGTAAAATAACATGCATTCCGCCGGGCAAGGCGAAACGAAAACTTTTAGCGGTAGCTGTAATGGCGAGAATGAATGAGAACCGCTAAAATTAATTGTGCCTGATCTCAGGTTGCTGTTTAGGGAAAGGAATAATTTGATACGGTAAGTCAAAACATATAATTCAGATAATTGTACTGTATTAACGGATTTTTAACACACAAAATTCAGTCCTTTTCAAACTCTCAGCCTCGAGTTTATTCTTAAAACATTCTTAAAATTTCACAAATTTCAGCCTCAATATTCTTATTAAATATGAGTTCTTATAAAAAAAAAGGAACGTCGAAATAAAGTAATGTAACGGTATCCAACTTTTGATGATGTGCCACGGAGGCTCAATAAAAAGACATGTTCATGAACACCTATAACTCATTCTCTCTCGGTGTAGTTTTTCACAAGCGGTTTTTCATGGTGTTTCCATAAAATGGATTGTTTTCGCGCATCGCAAAATTTTTGAAATGCCAGGAACCGGAATGGGAACGAATAGGGAAAACTCCCGGAGAAAACTCTCGAAGTTACCAGACGTTGAACAGCCGGCATCATCCCGGCCTTGCCATTGCGCTGCTGCAGAGATACAGCGGCGTATTGCACCCGGAGCGGTGGGGGATGGGGATGATGTTTCATGCAGAAGCTGCAACATTCTAGAAGACATAGGCAGACATGCTTATATGCCCGTACTGTTTTCATTTTACCTACTTCTCCTTTGAATTACTTACCGACTGTTCCATTATATAATAGAAACAGTCAACGGCGAACTCAAATTCATTCAAAATCGCTCAAAAAACCGCTTTTGAGGCAAAAGGACGACTATACACCACAGGCAAGGTAATTCAACGTTTATTTATCATTGATTTATATACATAGTTAGCGATATATCGTTATAGGTGAAGCAAACGGTAAATCCAGTACATTTACTATGAAATAACAATCGGCTACACAAACAGATTGAGTGGGTGCCCTGTGGTAACATTCAAAATATAAGGATTTGTATAGGGAAAAAAACCTATCGTTTCTGGAACCTACGAAAATGAAAGGATTTCAATCAAAAACAGCTTACCTTACTTAAAATGTGTATTACGTCTCTCCTGTTTGGTCCACAGGCCAACCGATTTATGGCCGTTAAATGGGTTTTTATGCCTGCAAGTGGTGGGGATTCGGTGGGGATGGCGCAAAGAGCAGACAAAACAAATGGGTGGGGTGCGAGCGAAGGAAGAACTCTCGGATTGACTCAAAGAAAATATCACGGGGGTGGGGTGGGGGGGTTACAACCAAATACTTAGAAGAAGGAAATTCTGTCTGCTTTATGACTGAAGACAGAAAACCCTTCGATTCCGAGAGATAGGAGATTAGGTTATCCGTGAAGAAGATACTTGAGGCTTCTAAGCGCACTTGATTTACGTCAAACGTAACGTCAGTATTTAATTCCTTCCTGATCCAGGAGGAGTGTACTTGCATACGTGCCTTTTAATATTTTGTACTCGGAAGATAATTGATGAATTGTTTCACTTTCCGGAAGCTGACCACAGTTTTCGAAAAGATTGGAAGTCGTCCATTTGAGTTTGGAAGAATTATTACATTCACAAGAAAAGCTAGACACAACGCCTGGCTTCTAGTTATTTTGCGATTAGAATTTTTTTGTTGGCACACGTATTGTGTCATCAACCGGTGTGTACAAGTGGAAGGTCAAATCATTGAACGAACAGTGATTCATTTTTACAAGGTTATCAACCAATAACAACGTGTTTTGTATGAAGGAAATACGTGCTCTATCTTCTGTCACGCAATCATCCAATCAGAGATCGCGTTAGAACGGAATCGACTGATGCGGTGAATGTTGTCTCGAGAGTTTGCATAAAGCAGATTTGTTTTAAAAGATTTTTTTAGCTGTTTTGTAGGATGGCAGATCTGAATATCGTGCTCGGTGCTTAACTAATCGCACCCAAGATATAGCCTGGTAAAACTTAGCTCTGAATCCTGTCTTTTATGCGCTGTTTCTCAAGAAACGTGCCCAAACCATTGCTGTGTTTAATGGACGGCGCGAGTCGGTCAACACACCTTCGAGGGAATTACAAATGTACTTCGATTAATTGGTTTTAAACCGGCTGGATTTGCGTCTTTGTGCTTGTCATATGCAGAGGACCTTGTTTTACGCCTGATAGCGCTTTTTGGATAATTTGTATCGTGATATCGAGTCTGTTGTGTTGGTCGAGTACCAAACAATGAACAAACAATCTCTGGAGTTAATGGAGCAAAGCTGCCTTTGAGGCTAGCGGGCTTTGTCTGTTTATGAAAACAGCTAGCATCTCAACTCTGTTGCACCATCTAACAATTGCATTGGATCATAAAGTGTTTCCTCAAACTCCTGAGTAAGTTTTCTTGCATGAAAAGGGTGTTTACAAACTATAGCGTGGAAAAAGAGTTCACAAACCAGCTTTCTTCAGCTGAAGTCTATTTGGAAAACATAAGGTAAGCTGAGTTCGTCTGTGTTGAAATGCTCCGCTGTATACGTTAAAATGCTGGACATCAAGGCAGTCACTTATTTTCTTTGTAGCCTCTGAATTTGCTGTAAGGCGCTCTATTTCTAAGTTGAAAATGTGCATGTTCGATGATGATTTTTCGAAGTTTTTGGCCTGCTCATCGGTTCGCGCGCTGGATCCGTATTTCAATCCATGCAAGTTTGTCGAAAAATTTTTCTAGAATTTTCATTTGGTTATCAGAAGTACACCACGATAATTGATCTAGGTTTTTGTTTAGTTGACATTGTTATGTCTTCAAAAGCTTGTAGTCGAGATCTATTACACCGTGTGAAATAGGTCTTCCGGAAACACTTCCATCTTTGCAGTTAGGGAGTACAAATTCGCTTCAATTTGTTGGAAAAAGAAGAAATATATTTTTATAAGAGATAAGCAAGTTACCCTCTGAACTGGAATTCTTTCCATTACTCGAATGATTAAATACTTAAAGAATGGATGATTATTATTTTATGGGAAGGTCGAATTTTCATTTTGTTATATTTTACTGACTACCAGAAAGGAATTTCTTTTCTCGAGGCTAAAAACATCTCGATAACAAATGGACCGGTACTGAAGGAATTTTTTTTATTTGCAGTTTCATTTACTAGCCAAACGGCATGTCGAGTTTTATGGTTTACCTTTGTAAGGACTCTCTGTTCTGCTACAAAGATCTTGTGCTTTGCACACAGTTTGCTAACAGTCGGCAATCCTTTTGAAAACGACAACTTTCCTTTGTTCTCATGGATTTTGTTGTTTTCAAAGGTGTGTTGATCTTATTTGATGTTCCGTCGGGGGTCTACAAATTACCATTTTGCAAGTCATCCTATTGCTATTTTATGCAGAAAATGCCTTATTGTTGCTTTCAAGTATTCAAAGCCTTTTTAGTTCGATTTCATTTTTCCTGCAATCGCTTTTTTTTTAATTCTGCAGTTGTCCTCAGATTGTGGCAAGCATTTGTTTATCTATTTGATTTTATGAGTTGACCTGTATTCATAGTTTTGAAATTTTGACATAACCTTAACTCGGATGTTATAATGCTCCGGATTTATTACTGAAGGCACTCAAAGTTGCCGCTTCATCCTTTTTGAAGTTGTACTCAATGAAACAGACATTAAATTAAACGGTTCCAATCAATGAAACTCTTTAATGCCTGGGCGATTTGGCAAGTCAAATCTTGGAAACCATACAGAAAAAATTAGTAAATGTTTAATGAACTGAAAAACCAAATGTAAATTACGTCGTTTTCGTTATGTTCCAGCGGTTAATTATAACAAAAGCTGATGAAGAATAAAATATTATGCACTTATGTATCGATCTTGACTAGAATGAAGCTAACAAAAAATTACTTTGGGTAGTTAATTTGAGAAGCTTACACTGGTGTGTATCAAAATGAAACGATTGAAGACAGTTTGGACAATGTTTATAACTTTACACTTCAACAGTTTAGTCTGATCTTGCACAGCACTTATATACAGATTATTTTCATGTACAGCTGTCATTGTCATAGCATTTTGATCACTTGCTATTTTGTATTTTTAAATAGGCATGGCCTAGTTCAGAGGTTTCTGATCAGCACTTTGATTGTGTGCCTATCGAAGATCATGTCACACGGGTGTCAAGTGAATTTAATCGGTCATTTGCATATTCCTTGCCAAACAGCTGATGACAGAAGTGATATTGTTTCCCTGAGAAGAGTGAATCAATTGACTCATGCTTTTTTGTTTGAGTTGATTTCCCTTTCACACAGTCTTATAGAATATAATAATATTAGATGCAGTTTTTAAATTATCTGAAAGGGGAAGATTAACATGATCCGATTGTGCGAATGTACAAAGGTTTTTTGTAGTGATTGATATTCCATTGTGTTTTTATCATTATTCATCAGATCATGTTCATGTAGCTGTGTGACAGTATGCATTGTTTTTGTGGATACTGGCTCACATGTTTGTAGTGTTCAGTTAGAAGGATGTATAAGTTAGTCGCTTTTTGGAATTGAAATAGCCACTGTTAACTGTTTTCAATCAATCTTATGAAGAATTCAAATGGTTGTGCTTGATATTGCCATGAAGAAGTCCACTCTAAAGATATCTTTAAGCCAGGTTGAGTTGTTATTAGTGCTAGAATACTTTGTTGTAAGGTGACTATGAAGTTCTACATGTTAATTGATGTAAGTCTGAGCTCTAATTTGGCATTGTTTTTTTCTCTTTTATTTATAGGATTATTTAAACAGACCATCCCTTAAAAGACAGTTTACATCAAGTGTTTGGGTTTCAATAGGAGAGTCTTTGGACAAGATAAGCAATGATGATTCAACAGGAAAATTTGACAATGAATGGATCAACCCATATAAAAACAAAGTTGTAGATTGTAAGATGTCACACCGATACAGGGATTCACAGACTCAGCCATCATCCCTTCCTAGGAGGTATAATTCTTTACCAAAGAGTTATTCCTCTCAGAATGCAACTAGAGATTCATCGCATTCAACAAGATACAGGTCAATTTCTTCATCTTCTACAGCAACCAGCAGTACACCTGCTACACAGTCCTCAAGATATGGAAGTTTACAGACATATGGCACATCAACGCAGTCTTCACTTACCAATGACCTGAAAAAAACACCTTCTCGCAGATCAACAATTACTACACTTTCTAGCAGGCCTGTTGGTGTTAAGAGCATTCCAAGAAAAAATTCATACCCTTCATCGCAGTCTTCAAGTTTTCGAGATTCAACCCTGTCATACACAGCTAGGCAGTTATCAAATAGAACACGCAGAGGTTCAGGTAGTTTATCTCGTGACTCAAGCTGGGAACCTGGTGAGCTGCCCATCAGGCAGCGATCAAGTATTACGTTAAGGGAGACACAGCCAGTTTGGGGACCAGATGAGCCCCTCACAAGACAATACTCAAGTAGTTCTTTGCGGGATTCACCCTTTTCTTTAGCAACAAAAAGAACTCATTCTTTGCGTCAGGATTCTGGTGAAACTGAAACTCATTTAACTTCTCGTAGAAAAACAAGTCCAGTTGAATCGACTGGTTTGTCAAGGTCTGTTTCTCCCCAAACTACGGCCTGTTGCAGACATCATAGTGATGGTGAATCGCAGACAACATCTTCACATCTTGAACATAGTCCAGGCGAAGTAACCTCAACTAGGCCTGTGTCACCCTCAAGTGTAAAATACCAAGGGAGTGAATCGAAAGAAGAAGAACCAAAATCCCCTAAGTCACCTGTTGTTTTGTATGCTGGTAGCATTCAACAAACAGAGTCACCAAGTTCTATAAGTGAAAGTGCTTCACTAAGAAGCGCTCAGAATGGGAGCAGTGGTAGCCAAGCTGTTGTTTGTGATGATGATAATGAACTGGAATCTTCTGCAGCGAGAGATATTTCGCTTTTGAGTAGACAGATAGCTAGTGTTTATGAAGGGTCACTCACCAGAAGTGATTCAAACAGAGGATCTCGTCCTCTGAAGAAGCAGAAGGCTGTGAGTGGTGATGACGAAAAAGCAACTGAACAAAAGAAAAATCTGGGAAAAGGAGTGCTTACGGAAAAGGCAACAGAAAATAATGAGAGAACTTCAGAGGGAAAAGGTTTAGTGTCAGATGGAAAGAACATATTGAAAAAAGAAAATAAAAGAAGCTCTAGTATTGAATCTGCAACAGCTAAAGATGAAAACAAAAAACCCAGGAGGAAATTGTCAGGAGTTTTCTCTCGCAAAAAGTCATCTGATTCAGAAGGGGATGAAGAGAGAATACAGCGCAAAAGTTTTTTCCCTCGTAAAAGTTCCAAAGAATCTGATAAAGAAGTAACAGGTAGAAGGGGTTCTTCATCATCAGCGCATTCTGGATCTCCACCTGTTACACCTCCAAAAAGAAAGATTTCTGGCCCAAGTAAATTTTTTTCTTATTCCAGTGACTCTAAGACAACTCCAGAGGTGCCTAAGAAATTTTCTGTGCCTGGAAAGTTTTTCAAAGGCAAAGACTCAAGTGGTGGTGAATCAAGTGACTTGGAATCAGATTCCTCAAAATCACGATCACGTATGAAAAGACGTGTGTCATTACCAGGTGTATTAGGTCGTGCAAGAAGTTCTAGTGCCGAGAGGACTGGTAGCAAATCACCTAACCCCCAACCATCGATAGATCCAGCTCTTCTTAATAGGCGCAGGAGCAATTTCAAGAAAGCTCAGTCATTTGATGTGCAGAGTGACACATCAAAGAATTCAATGTTGAATAAGCTGAAATTCTGGGATCATACTAAGAAGGAAAAATTATCAGATTCAAGGACGTCAACATCACCAGAGGAGGGCAGATCAGCATCAAATTCTCCTATACCAGTCCATAATAATTCTATATCATCCACTGTGGAAAAGAAAGTAGAAGACAAGACATCACGGTTAAGGAGAAACAGGGATAGAACAGTTAAGCAGACATCTTCACTAGAGAAAGAAACTGCTCTGGCTGTTAAACCCGAGGTAACAGGTTTATCTAGAGACCAAAGTTTAGAATTTTCCCAGAAGGAAATGCAGTCTTCTAAGGGTGATGACAGCAGTACGGTAAATGGTAAAGAAGCTAAAGTTCAGTATGTTGGCCAGGTTAATGTGCCCTCACCATCTGAGCAGCGTGCTAGAAAACGTGCCCAATACAAGGTTAACTCTGGGAAAGATAGTAATAGTACGGTCACACCATTAGAGAATTTAACAGGTGCTCAAGTTTCCGATGTAAAAACAGTCGAAAAGAAGACACCAGAATCCAATGATAGTTCAACTAGGGACACTGTATCAAAGTTAAGAGAACGAAGAAGGAAGAGACGTGAGGAGAGGGAGCGTTTTTTTGCTAGTATGGGTTCATCAAAAGACGCAGGCAAAGCACAGGACACCCAGCAAAATGGTCATGTGCAGAGTGAACCTACAAATACTAATGGCTCAGTGAAAAACACAGTGCAATCAAAGCAGGATCACATTGATGCAGGAAAGAAGCCACAAGGGGATAGTGTTAAAAGGGTAGAACTAACTCCAAAACTTAGTGCTGTTGGGAAAAGGTCAACATTTGATGATGTTGTGCAAAAAGAAGCCAAGACTAAAGGTGGAAGAGCACGATATCAAACAATAGCCTCTTCGGTTCATGCAGATATAATTGCTGATCTCATTCGCGAGAAAGGGTTAAAGTCAACAACAACTAATGAAGTCAAAATTCCTTCAGTGTCAGAGCTTAGAGAAAGGTTCCTTATATCTAAGGATGATGGTAAGATCTCTCCAACCAGGCTAATGCTGAAACTTGATGAAAGGCCAAACAGCATATGTGGGGAGGTCTTGTCTCCCACAGAGATGAAAAAATTTGATGACATTACTTTCTCCTTGGCCAGAAAAGTTTCTTCTAGTGACGTGAAGACAAAGAGGTTCTCCGGCAGCAGTGACGATTCATTGGCGAGACTCGACACCCCTTGGAAATCCATTTCAAAGGATAGTAAAACAATCCCTCCTTCTTCCCCTGAAGTTATACGTTCTTCTAAAGGAGACAAGAAAATAGAGAATGTTCCAAAGCCAAAGGAGGAATGCAAAGAGGAACAAGTTGTGACTGGAGAAAGTGACACTTTAAAGAGGAAAGCTGGTGGTAAGAAAAAAAGAAAGATCTCAATATTTGGAGCTGATCGAGAAAAAGACAAGGAACCAAAATCTCCTGAGGAGGAGGTGGAATCATCACAGCATGGCGCAGTCTCTGCGGCAATCAAAGCCATGTTTACGCGAAAAATACCCTCATCTGACAAGTCAAAGGTACCAGGGAGGCAACGAATTAAGTCGACGCCAGACTCTTCAGTGAACAACAAAATATTAGACACTTCAAGTGATAGGGAAAGAAAGACATCTGCTCCTGAAGAAATTGTAAGCAAGTCACCAGAAATCGTCAAAAGCCATCCTGTGAAAGAGAACAAAGGTTTAAAAGATCATGTGAATGTTGACAACAAGGCAAAAATAGCTAGTGAGACACATCCTTCCCAGAAAGAGAGAAGAGAGTCAAAAGATCAGGTGAAGACTGAGATCACACAGGAAGTGAAGAATGGGGATAACGCAAAAGACATTGAACTGCATCCTGTTTCAGGCATTGAGGAGAAACCTAAGGAAAGGAAATCCCTGAAGAAACGTAAGTTATTCTAACTAATTTAGTGAAATTAGATTTAATTAATGGAATAAAATTATAACAAGGTTGTTGGTTAATGTCTAAAGAGTGATCATTCAAGTGAAAGCTACTGATGAGTGATTCCTGTGCAGGTACCCTTGTAGAATCAGACACTGTGTAGAATCTATGCAAATGCTATGTCACAAAGCTGTTAATCAGTCATACATTATGTTAACCAGATCCTATGTTGTTTCTTCTATGCCAGGACTATTTTTTTGTATTGAAAATGCTATGTTTTCACTAGTCAAACGGAAGCTACTTACATGTAAAAGCTATGCAGTTTTTAAAAGTAGGAATAAAGGAAGAAATGACATAGTTTCCACATAACCTATATACCTACAATTTACTTATCTTTTGGAAAGAGATTTTAGACCTCATAGTCAGCGTTATAGAAAAATCATAGAAAATGAATATCCTTCACATAAATGACTGAAGTAGAGTTTACATAGTAAAATGGAACAGGGAACAGTTTATTAAATAGCTTTTGAATAGGGTTTGTCTTTTATGTATGCAGGTTTCAATTTGCTTAAGCAAATGTACGTTTAAAATACGCTCGTAATAATCACCAGAATAGAAAAAATATTATAAACATGACATAGAATGCCTTGAACATGGGTAAGAAATAGGTTTTGAAACCAAAAAATGAAAAACCATGCAACACAAAAATTAATACAGTACTTTCATGCAGCAGTTTCAGAGAATCAAAAGCGCAAGTTAAAGTTTGCTTAATTTGCTCATTGTCTGGACTCTTGGCTGATGTCATGCTCATCAGTGCCATACAGTTTGCTTGTGACTGCAATAAATAAGTATCTGCAAACAGAAAAGTTGAGATTTTAAGGTAAATAAACGCAAAAACAACCTTATTTTTCATAACTGAAACGAACGAAGCGTTATCGAATGGTGACTGCTCCAACTTGTTCAGATACGCGAAAAGGGGAGAAAACGCTCGTAACCAAATCAAAACTTAAATTGAGAGAAACATCACTTACTGATGTTAGGAATACTTATTGTTGAACCTGGCAGGAAAAGTCTTTAAATTGAAGTAACAAGAAGCATCTTCTTTTAAACGCATGCTTCACAGTTCATTTTATTCGCCTTGAAAGTACCCGTGTGAAATCAGATAATGTTCACACCTTTTCATTGGTTGAAAAAGCCCCTGTAATGATAAAAAGCAAAATACCCATGTGTTGAACTCATGGGCTTCCCTGGGAACTAGTGGAAACAAAATGGCAGACAAACATCAAGGACTGCAGCTAGCGTTTCACAGTTTTGACCAGTTTTATTCAGGAGTCGTCTACAATCAAGAAGAAGGATAGAAGCTGATATAAAAGGAGAAAAGGATGCATGGAAGTATCATTTCAAGTGAAGCAACACTAGGGAAAGGCTAGAAAGGAAAGTTAAGGCAGGAATGATGGATGCAGAGACTGCTTAACAAAAAAATTATAGTATATAATTTTTAAGCTTTTTAGTTTAAAACGCTGCTCTTTACGTTAGATGTATGCTTTTTGTAAGTGCTATTTAACCTGTACTATCAACATGCCTAGTTTTTTAAAAGCTATGTTGAAATATCACACAGGAAACACATAGACTGCATTGTTTTTCATATGAGTGACATAGGAAAAAATATGTTTATGTAAAAGCTATGTAGCCTTTATGTCATGATAAAACTAAATTAAAATGTCACACAGTAAAAACATAGGCTGCAAAATATGTTTGATTCACATAGCATAGAATATACATAGCACTGTGTAAAAGATAAGAATATTGTTGGAAATAAAAGTGAACATTGAGATGCTTTGTAAAAGCTATTTTACTTTGATGCTAAGTGAATACATATGATGCAAATCAGAAGGAAAAGCATAACTTTCTATTGCATAGTAAATACATAGCCATGTCAAGACTATGAAAGGATTTTGAATAGTATTTGCATAGGTATTAAAAGCTATGTATTTCTCATAGCCTAAACATAGTTTCAACACAGATTTTTCATACTTTGGACTATGTTATGTGGTATGTTACATAGTTAATACATAGGCAGTAATGAACATAACATAGCTGAAGCATAGTCCAACATAGTAAATAAATAGCATGAGCATAAGTTTTGCATATGTCTGGTTCTACAAGGGTACTTTGTATAATGATGCACAATGCAATGTGGTTCTAATGTTTATGTGTTATTAATAGAGGAAAATTTTATTATGCTCCCATTGAAGTGAAAGCTACTTTGCAGTTTGTAGGTACTTAGAAGTGGTTCTGTTCATGATACTGTATAATGCAGGGTTGTTGTTACGTTATGGCCTCTGGATGCATCAATCATATTGTGTGTCGAAGTAAAGCTCCTGAGCAGTGCATAAACAAGAGGTCCATAGTACTGTTTGGTTTGGTGCACAAGGTGATTCTAATTTTGGATCTGTGTATAAAAACCATTATTACATAATGACCATCCAAGTGAAAGCTACTAAGCAGTTTTATTACATGTACAAATGATGTACTTTTCTGTGATGGGGTTGTTACGTGCATGTCATGCGGAGTGTTACTTATGCTCAGTTAGCCTCCCACACAAGCATTTTTAGGGGAGCTCGTATTTCATCCCTCCCCACAAATGCCTGCGCAACTGAGAACAACATGCTGTATGGGTGGCTAATGTTCAGTTTGTCCTCAAGTAATGTCCTTGAATGACTTTGTGTTTGTACTTGTGTACATCATAATTTATTACTTAGTACAGGTTTAGTTGGAGATAAGAGGTTTCTTGGCCTGAACTTTCTGCTAGGTTCTGTTTAAGGTCAATAACTTTTTGTTTTGTTTAGAATCAGGTGGAGTTAAATAACAGATAATAGGTTATTATTGTGTTTAAAGTGTTTTATTTCCTTGTGTTGTTTGTTTAAGAAAACAAAAACTGCAAATAAACCCCTCCAGAAAGGAACAGTCAGGACATCGAAGTAAAATTGAAAAAAAAAGATAATTGACTTTAACCCAGGCTGATTCTAAATTTCCTTTGTCTGCTACGGCTAGGAGACAGAAAAAAATGAAAATCACTTAAGGTTAAATCAAAATTAACCTGAAATCAAATTTGACCTGTAACATGTACATGTACGCATGTAAGACAAGACTGTTAGCCTAAACAGTCCATTTTGCTTGTCTTGCCTCCTGCAGTCAGCTCTTATTTTTTGAGATACATGTACTTCTTGAATCATAGAGAGATTTAGAGTCACTCTTAGAGCAATGGACAAAGGTGAATTTTTACCACGTGACCAAGTTTTAACTTTACTTGTCTTTACCTGTTCTTTACTTCCAAAAAAATTAGTTGTTTATTTTCATCCATAAAAACTGTCTTAGGCAGTTTTTATCTGCAGTATCATTTTGCTTTTTTGTGAAATTCTCAACTTGGATCAACTGCCATTTACCATTTACCCTATAATGTCACTCTAAATCATCTCTAACATTTTAATACTTGAAAGTCCTATTTACACTGTAGGTGTTTATTCAAACTAAACTCATCAAGATAGTTTTTGTTTTTTTGTTTTAAATCAAGTGCAGTGGCTGGAACTTTTCTGTTTTGACAACCTAGTCAGTTTCCTTTTCATAGCTGATCTGTTTACATTGGCCACAAAGATAATGTGTTTGTTTTTGTGTGTGTGTGAGTTTCATGGACCCAGTTTAGAAGGCAAAGACAAACATTGTCAAGATAGCAGCATTGATAACTTCCCTTATGCAAACAAAGCACTTTAGCATGCAGATCAACTTTACATTTTCTCTTTCTATGGAAACACAGTTGTTATGTTAAATATTGTAGAGACTGGATTTTAACCAAGGCTGTTACTCTCGTAAGTTCGTTTTTTGTTTTCTTAAAATCAAGTGCTATGTATTGCATGCTTAACTGAAAATTGGAGTAATGTATACTGAAATTTATCTCTTTTAATCTCCCTTGTGACATTAGGTGTTTCTAAAATGTTCTGTCATTAGAAACCGATAACTTTGCTGTACATCTTCATGTCTGGTTTACTTTCTGGCACTTCCAATCAGCTTTTGTCCTATAAAAAGCCTAATTCATGTTGCAAACTTGACAAGGAAATTGAAAATTCATAATTTCGTTAGTGCCACAAATTACAGTAAATTTGCTATAATGGTATCATTATTTTTGTTTTTGTCACAGTTACCAGTAGGTTTTTTGTGTGATCCTAAAATGTCTCCTATTACTGTTCACGTCCCATGCACTGGTAAAACCATTATAATAATAATTATTCATGTACTAGCTTATATACTAATGCATTGTACGCCTGTAATAGTCCACTAGTGTCTTCAATAACATTTTCTATGGCAGATCTTGGTAATATAAACACCTTTCCTTCAAAAATACCTTTACACTGTTAATATTTAATATCTTTATCAAACAATTAGGGCCATATTTTGCATTTATTTTGATATTCAAAAGTCTTGCACTTTAATAATGTGTCCTTTCCTGGCTATGAATACAGAATATTAAAATCTTTGTGTCAGTTTTGATGTGTTTGTTAATGATTTTTTACTCTGTTCAGAATACGGTGATTCTTATTGTTACACTGTACTTTTATAGATCTTAGTTATCACCCTCTACATGTAGTTTTTATAGTCTTAGGTTAATTTGTACGGTAAAATCACTTCAGGGCATTTACTAAAAGGTAGACATTAGGCATGTGTGTTTTAAGCCAATCAGAGAGTTTCTTAGGAGTTTTTTTAATCCCATTACAACTACCTACAGTGTAAATTTTTAACTTTCCTGTATGTAAAAAATACACCCCATTAGAGTGCAGCCACAAAGACATCATGCTTTGATTTTTAGAATGACTATGTTCACATCAAGTGAGAGAGAACAAAAACTTTGTGCATGCTAACTTTGAATTTGCCATTTTTAGCTTTTTATTACAAACTGTGTTCAACTGTATAATAATATATTGATATCTTTATCATGTGTGGTGCTGGTATGGGGTTTTCTAAGGTGCAGTAGTTTACATGTACATGACTGTATGCTAGTGGGGAGAATGTTGCAAGAGAACTGTGAATTCCTTTGTAAAGGTAACTTAGTAAAAGTATAGTGCTTAATGGTGATTGTAACTAATAATAACACTACAAAGTTGCATCCAGAGCCATAATTAGACATATTTCCTGTCTGCTTGGAATTTCTCTCTGGGATTTCTAACGGTCGAGGTATTCATATTTAAACCTTGTCAGCGTCAAGTTTGTGAGCAAATTATTGTTGTCATTAACAGCTTCCAAGAACAAGAAAAGGACTTTTAAATCAACAATCAAACCATTTGGTGGCATGATGAAAACCAAGTCTGAATCCAATCTAATGCAGCGGTTTGATTTGATTGCTGTGGATATTCCTATTGATGGCGAGCCAGAACCTGAGAAAAAGAAAATGGATAACGACATACAGCTGATCTCAAATGTTACAGATGAAACAAATAAGGTGGAAGATTTATCAAGTGCAAGCCAGAGGGAAAGACCTTCAGGTGTGTTTGAAGAAGGCTTAAAGGAATTTTACAACAAGAAAGTGGAGGAGAAGAAAAGTACCACAACCTGTTCTCCAGAAATTACATTGGAGGATCTGGACATAATTTCAGGGCAAACTACTCAGTGAGTTTTGTTTGTATCGATGCCGTATGTTTATGGAAATTGATGTCACTTTCTTGCTATGCAACTTTGCACTCACATAGATATAAGAAGTTACTTGTGTCTTATTAGAGAGCTTAAGCAACAATGACGGCAACGGCGGCAAGAACAGCAAAAAAGCAATAGGTTTAGATTAGCAAAACAACAACTTTGCACACGTGTGCATCTTGCTTTTTTGTACATTTCTTTGCTGTTGTTGCACAACTACAATGTGAAACTTCCTACAGCTGTAGTTTCACGGTTTATGGAGGACATGAACAATTCTTTTTCTGAACTTAGATACAGTCCTTGAGAATCAACACCAGAAAAATTCTTCACACGAGACAAATTGAATGAAACAGAATAAGAGTGATGAAGTTTGGAAAAACACAAATTAAATTTTCAGTTTGTTTTTGCTGCTCTTACTGTGGTTGTTCCTTAAGCTCCCCATTGAGTGGGAGAACCAAGCCCTTGAAAAAAGGCCGGTTCATGGCCATGGTGTACATGCGAGAACTGTGTTTCTGGAGGGTCTATGTGAGCTGTCCACTAGCTTGGATTTATCTCTTAGTGTTCAGTGCTCTTGATTCAAGCCATATTTTGTTTTGCAGACAACTGAATTCCTTAGCAGGGGACAAAATGAAGATCAGGCCTAAAAGACACCATAAAACAGCAACAAACCCAATAAAGAACTTGCAGCAGAGAACTGATGTTCGAACTGACACAGAGGTACATTAAAAAATTTTTACAGTCCTGTTTATTTTAAAATTATGTTTAGGTATTTCAGTCCATTAATAGTAAACTGATGGTAAAGTAATAATGAACTATTTCACACATTCATGTAAATAACACAATAAAAAATTGATCATGTTAGGCATCCTGAATTTCACAGGGTTAGAGCTCTGGGCTCCCTTTAATTTTTCTTAGATCACATCTATCCTTGAATGTGGTCGTGTGGCTAAAAGTGACTTAAATTTATTTTCTTATGTTATTAACCCTTTCCATCTACAGCAAGTTTATGATAAGTCATTCCAACTTAACCCTTGCTTTCATAAACAAATTTCTATAATAATTGTGACCATTCCAGGGCTCGAAATGTAAAAAAACAGTGCAGTCCCATTTTGTGACTACAGCTGTAGATATGAAAATTTGGTCACAAAAATGCAATTTTTAAAATTTTTGTTTAGCTAATACATTGCAATTAACGTAGTGGAATGGTTAATTTTGAATTTTAAGTAACTTCACAGTTAGTAAGTAATATAGTTGTTGTGATTGACAGGTTGAGAGACCAAGAATAGAGAAAAAACAAGTCACCAGTGAACATCCTGTCATCAAAAGAAAGAAAAAGAAATATAAAGATCCAGATAACTTGTGTAAGAATATGAGACCCGGCCACAGATGTTGAGTTCTTTTTTTATTCTCTTTTCTGCTACCTGTAGTTGTCAGAGAGATTTTTTTGTGGGGATAAAACAAAGCCCTTACAGTGCACCTGTAAAAGTGATTTGAAGTGCTTGTTCTCCAACAATATTTTTAAATCAAACACTTTATTATGGTGTTGAATTTCTTGTACTTGTAATAAAATGTGGCCTAAGAGGGAAGGTGCTCATTTACAGGACAGCCATTGAGAGTACCTGTTGTTGTTGTTATTATATTGTTATTATTATTATTATCATTATTATTATTATTATTATTATTATTAATCATTAATTTTTTTAAGCAAACTGAATTTTTATTTTGGCAGAAAAATCAAAGATCAAACATCACAGAAATTTAAAATAATGGGAGTAGAGTGCAGGTTCTCCTTTGAGGGGGGTGGGGGTGGTGGGGGCTGGGCTAATTATTTGCTAGTTGTACCAATGGGTTGGGGCATTTATTTGGGGGAGTGAGTCCTCCTTAGAGCATGGGTACTTATTTTGGGGGATACTGTCACAAAATAATATTAATCTTACCATCGCCTTGATTAGGAGTCAGGTCAGTGCAGTGATTCCAGAAATTAGGCATACCCATCTCATGGATTGTCACTGAAATGTCTAGAGGGAGAGGTGGGGGAAGGAGTCCAAAAGTTCCAGAGGGGTGGGGGTAGTTCAAGCCAAAAAAACCTCCACTGGGGGAGTATGGATGTTTTCTGCATGGTCTCTAACACTGAGTGTAACTAAGTGTGCGTTCCTTTTAGATGATCAGGATCAGGATCAGTGATCAGATCATGATAGATCAAATTAATGATCAGATGAATCCACTCTGGAGAAGGATTCATCAGTTCATTTGCCCTACCATGATTTGAGTGATCTTGGATCACTGATCCTGATCCGGATCATCCCAAAGGAACGCACCTGAACTTATTGTTTGTTTGTTTTTTTTACAATAAAATGCAAGAAAAATGCTCAAAATCAGAATTATTGTAATGGAGCAGACTGCAGTGTTTCAAGTTCAACCATAAATTGCATTTATATCTGGTCTTACTGAGGTTTTGGATTAACTTTCAATAGCAAATGGTAGAGGTATGAAGTTAAAATAAAAACTGAGTGCATGTACATACGTACTTGTGTTCCATTAGGGAGACGTCACACACTTGACTTAGCAGCATCAGCGTTGGCAGGTCTAGCAAGCACAGAAGATTTCACAAAGGTCAGATTACGGAAAACAGCAGGTCCAGATGAGAAAGATGAATTCAGAGGAACTAAACCTGTTATGCTTATTCACATCAAAGGTGATTGATTGTTTTAAAGTCAGGGTTCTCAATAGAAGGTGGCACCCGGCGATTGATCGCCGCTTACTTTGGGATTTATAGCCGCTTACTTTGTGTTTAGGTCGCTTTTCTTTGCTTTGTTTTGACACCTCTGGCTTTGCTGAGGAGCCTCCTACTTTATCAGTGATCACCTCCCACTTCAAAATCTATTGAGAACCCTGAAAGTGCAGTCTGAAACTCAAACAACAAAAAATAATTACATGTAATGTTTCATAATTAACTTGCTAGATTCTTCCTCCAAGAATTCACTTACATTCATGTACACTAAATATACTGTAATAAAATCAAACATACAGTTTGTATTAAAATAGTGTTGTTTTGTAGGCCGCCGTCATCTTCAAGTACGTCTTGTTGAGCCTAGCCTCAAGTCACTCAACTCTGGGGACTGTTTTGCTCTGGTGACGGAGAAAGATCTTTTCTCTTGGATTGGAAAAGACTGTAATCCTTATGAAAAGGCAAAGGTCAGTAAAAGACTAATTTACAATAATTATATTAATAAGTATTTTTGTTTCTCTTGGATTGTCTTTTTTGACTGGAAGCCTTTAAAAGAATATGAAAGTTGTTGATGAGCAGTTTTCATTTGCAGTACCAACCATTTTTTTTTTCGAAAAAGCTAATTCTTTGATGTTAGTTTGAAAGGTAACTTAATCCAGTCTCTTTGTGCAAAACAAAACGAATCAGCACCATAAAATATTGGGTTTCTTGTTTTAAACAGAGTTGTGGAATGAGCAATTTTAAAAAGGGTCAGGGTAAAAAGGCCTCAGCGACACACCTCTACTCAAGCAATACTCAGAAATTACATACAGATTAAATTGTTCAAAGGTTCATGTCAGATTAGATATTATAGTAGACTTGTACTTTGCTTACACTGCAGGTGACAGAAATAGTGTCAAAGATAAAAGCAAAGTCTGAACTGGACTGTAGAGCAAGGGACATCATAACAATCGAAGATGGAGATCTTGACTTTGGTGCTGCATTGGATAAATTTGTCAGTATTCTCAAGGGTGATCCTGGCTGCAACAAAATAAAAGGTTAGCCGCAAGTTACTATTTATTCCTCTTGCAGTATGAACAGGGTCATTTTTATCCTTTTTTTGCTGTCTATTTTTAAAACGCTTTGACATGACTACTCCAGCTTCTGCTTCCATTCTCTATTAGAATTATGATCAGATTGTTATGATCATCTACATGGTATTTCCTTTAATGGTTCGACCATGGCTTGCACAGGCCTGGAATACTCCTTGAAAAACTGCTAGGACCTTGAAAACTCCTTGAATTTGTAGAAGCACTGTGCTTAAGAATTTTATTACAAACTCCTTGAATACTTGAGACTACAATAAAATAAATTCATTTTGACATCAAAAGATTGAAGGAACTGGTCAGAAATGACGAAAGGCTTTTCATATGAGGACAATTCAGTGTTTCTTATTTAAGGTATAAAAGTAACCGCACCTTTAATGGGGTTTCCCAAGTGTATTCTTCAGCTCTCCTTCTAAGCAAACAAAACCATGAGGAAAATATAGCTTGAAGGAGCTTGAAGCGTGAAATCTATTCGATTTTGAAATAATTATCTGTTATCCTTTGGTATAACGATGTTAAAACGCACTTACAGGTGTTGATTTGTTGGCATGACTGTGCAAAATGTGTAATATTCGTGACACAGTAATGCGAGTGCCTGAGAAAATGAACTCCTTGAATTTTGTTATTAAGTCCTGAAAAAGTCCTTGACAAAAAGTTGAAGAAACTTGTATGAACCATGGTTCCCATCTCCTTATGTACAGTCAACTCCCGATAACTCGAACCCTCGCTAACTCGAATCTTGCGCTAACTCGAACCAAAATCGATTTCCCCTGGATTTCGGTCATACATTCATTGTAATTTTACCCTCGGTAACTCGAACCCTCGATAACTCGAACTCCCGCTAACTCGAACCAATCTTCGTTTCCCCTCAGGTCATTTTCTATATAATTTTACCCTCGATAACTCGAACCACGTTTCGAGCCCTTAAAAAGTCGGGAAAAAAGCTGTCTACGGACTTCCGAAACATTGAATTTTGGATTTCCTATTGGCGTATTGTAGGAGTATAGTTTACGAGTGGAGGCTGATGTTGATTGTCACAGGCTAACGTGAAGCACCTTTTCTTTTCAAAACAGTAAATCGCATGCTCTATTTAGGCTACGTTTTGTTACATTACGTTCTGTTTTATAATATAGAAGTATCTTTTAATTTTCACTTGACATTTCTACAAATGAATGTGATTAAAATGTTCACTGTGCAGTAAAAACTGCTTTTTACCATATTCGCGGCTATTTTCTTCGAACTCTCGATAACTCAAACTCCAGATAACTCGAACCTTTTTCGATTTCCCTTGAAGGTTTGAGTTATCGGGAGTCGACTGTACTACCAGTCTTTCATGCAGATGTTCCTTCCTCCTTAGTTATGCTTGCTTTTTCCTCAATCAAACATGTTTTATTATTTTCCTTGAAGATATCCTGCTCCACAGATCTCTTTTTGCTGTATTATTGACTTTCCTTATACATTATTTAAGACCCCATTTCCTCTAAATAATCATTTTCCCTTTGTATTTTTTTGATCCCATCCTCCACCCCTTGCACTGCCGTATTTCCGAGATGCTCATCCCCATGCATGTACATGTAATACTCTTCTTCAATCTATCACTCAAGGTATAAAATAAATCATGCAGCCAATAAATTTGCTTTGTAATAAAATTATTCCATGTTACACACTGGGTCACTTCCTATTAATATTTTATTGTCTACTGATGAAGGAACATTTCCTTCTTTCTTTTATCTGTTAGATGCTCAATCAATGCCTAAAGATGAAGATTATGAGAAAGGCTGTGTCAAAGGGAATATGGTGTACAAGATACAGTGGACAGATCCTCCAAAATTGATGCCAGTTGAAAGCATGTGTGGGCATATTCCTCAAGTCTCTATTCTTGATACTAAGGAGGTACATTGTTATTATACAGTTTTAGTAAAAGTGGTGGGAAACAAAATCAGTTCTCTTTTGTGGACATACATGTACAGATTGGGAGAAGGAACAGCACCATGATAAAAAACAACAACAAAAAAAAAACGAAACAAAACTGGGGGCAAAAATTTAGTTGAATGGTTTCAACATAGCATTTTATCCCCAGCCAGAAGTCAAGTTTTTTCTGATAGTAAACATGATTCAGACATGGGATTCAGACATGGGAAAAAGAGGGTTTCAGAAAGTAAACAGGTAATTAATAGGCCATCGCGTTTTTATGTTGTGTTACAATAAGATGTGTAACAAAACAATGTGATGTGCAGCAGAGTAGCCCGAGAAAACAGCTGTTATTTTGTGTACCACCACTGGATTTGCTGCCAAATGTTGTCTGAGAAACAACGTCAGAAATTCCATACTGATGACGAGTCACTATCCAGATACTGGTGGTCCAGTGATTCTGATTGGTTTAGGTCATTTTCCCTTGTGGCATGCCCAATCAGAAGCACTACCCATATCTGGGAAGTGACATGCATGTCATCAGTATAGTATTTCTGCACTCTTTGCTCAGACATCATCTCACAGGGAAACCAGCGGTGGTAAGGTAAAAGGTAAAGGCGCACACAAATGGCCGGAGCTCATACCGGTTTCTGTAGCATGAAGCAAGCCTAGGAGTATTGCTACTTGCCCCTGGACAGGATGCTAGTCCATTGCAGGGTTACCCCCCAGCAGTATGTTGGCGGTACCCATTTATACACCTGGGTGAAGAGAGACAAAGTGGAGTAAAGTTCCGTGTCTAAGGAAACAGCGCGACAGGTGAGGCTTGAGGTGTTAACCACTCGGCCACACACGCCTCCTCAACCAGCTGTGGTGGCAGTACTTAATGTTGGCTGTTTTCTCGGGTTACTTGCAGAGTTTTTGTTTTCTTTGTTTTGCTGTTGTCGTTATTTACAGTCTTGTTCCAATGGCCATTGTACTGTAGTTTCTTTGAAAATTCTTTAATGTATTTTTTGTGTCTTTACAGGTGTTTATATTTGATTTTGGATCAGAGCTGTATGTCTGGAATGGCCAACAATCATTGTCAGGTCAAAGAAAGTCTGCGTTTGCCCTAGCCAAACAACTTTATGCGGAACCGTTTAAAGCATATGGAATTTATGATCCAATCTTCCCATATGGTAAATCTGAGAACTGCAATAATGAAGTTGATAACAAAATTGCATCACAGAGACCCTCGTGGACATTGTTTGCAAGGCTGCATGAGAAAGCAGAGACAATCCTGTTCCGTGAGAAGTTTCTTGATTGGCCAGATCCTACAAAGATTATTAGAATGAAAGGGCATCCCAGCATGCTAGAGTTGGCAGCTCAAGATAAGGTACTGTACAAAGGGTTGCACTTAAATTGGAATGATTTCTTTTTTAAAGAAAAGTATCTGTTATCAATGTCATAGGCAATGAGTTGAGCTGAACATCCTCTGAAATAAAGATACACTCTGTCTATGAAGACTATAGTCTCAGTGACATACAAATTCTGCATTTTTCTTGACCTCCTTAAGTGAAGACCCTCCTGAGTTGACACCTTGCTGGTCACAAAGGTTACGACGGGTTCAACTGTAACAAAATTTTAGTTTCCTTTTTTTAAATGTATAAGTTAGGTTAGTCTTTCCTTACAATACTGACAAAAAGTAAGTTGACATGCAATACTTGATCTTGGCATAAAGTGAGTATCAGAATCGAGCCTCAACTCTTGATTGGCACTAATCGATTCCTGCAAGAACCAGAAACACTGTAACAGCCCTTGTTCCCTTTTGAGTAATTGTCTGGTTACTAACAAAAAAGTGCTGGCATGCACACCACTTAGAAGGGAAAATACTTTTAGCATTTTAAAAGTTGTCACACACTGTCCAATTTACAGCAAGAGGCCAGGCCTTTCTTTAAACTGTTATCACTGGTTAGTCTCATGAAATTTATTATATGACTGCTGTTTACTATTTTTAAGCCTCCTCCAGTTGAATTGAAGCCATGTGATCCTAAAATAATGTTGAAGAGTGCACCACCATTAGAGTGTCCAACGTTTGAAGGGGTGAATGTTGGGCGTGGCAATGGTGTACCAACTGTGTGCGTTGGGGATATCTACAAAGAAGGAAACCTTGTTACAACTGTTGAGTTGACTGTGTGGCATATCAATGAGTACAGACATTTTAAGCTACCACCAGCTAACCATGGGCATTTCCACTCAGGTATGTTAAAACAGTATTTTTTCTGTCAAAGATCTGTGAGGGAGCTTTTTGTGCTTGTTTATTTATAATATAATAATATTCTCTTGAGACCCTTTGAATCTGACCAGAAATTTTTATTTTGCAGCCAAATGTCAAGAATAAAATACAATCAAGTTAGAGTACTGTCAAGACTGTGCTCTGAGGAAAATTTTAAATTTGAAAGCCAGACTGCCGAGCATTATGATTTCTATGAGAAAGCTAAACTTTTCTATTCACCCAGCTAGGGTGCAAAAGTTAGGTGCCAGAGGCCACTGAGTACTGCTTGAGCACAGCCTCGACTCTTCTCATACATGTACAATGTACATGTACACTAGCACTTAAGGGTTTCTTCTACATTTTAAATGGTGCAGGGCTCTAAAAAAATTTAAATTGCAGCTTGTCCATTGGGCAAGCAGCTGTCACATTTTTCTTACCCAGGCCAGGGCCACTTCTTGCTCCTCTTATAGTTAATGATTTTGTTTACAGGTGAGTCTTTTGGACCCTCCTTGCCCGCTGGGCAAATAAGTCTTAAACGTTCCTTGCTCAGCAAGAAAATGTACTTGTTCCAGACTAATGGACAGAACTTTTTTCGGAGCCTGGCCTGTGTGCATACAAAACATAAAAGCCATTAGAAATGTTTGTTGTAAAAAATGTTACTTGAGCAATCCCAAATGGTAGTTGCTTTAAAGATACGAATTCAACTATTTGGGTTTTCACTCTTTTAGGTGAGGGATATGTCATTAGATGGGCGTACTTTGTACTTACTGACAGAATCGCCAAAGATCGGAAGTCTCGTTGTCGATCAACAGTTGCAGGACGTGTTCGCTGTGCATACTTTTTCTGGCAAGGTAATGATTGCTCTGTGAATGAGAAGGGTGCAGCTGCAATTATGGCTGTGGAGCTTGATGAAGAGAAAGGACCACAGGTAAGGTGCCCCCTCCCCCCCCCCCAGGAAAAAGTTCTTTATGTTAATGTATTGTCTGTGAGAACACTGCTCAGGAGCGGATCTAGGGGGAGGGTGCAGGGTGTGTCCACTCCCCCCTTAGATGACCTGTGGCTTTCTAATACAATTCTTGGTATTCTGTATTAAAATGTGTTTACATCACCAGTCAGTTACACCATTTCTTAGTGGTGCACCTCCCTCCCAAGAAAAATCCTGGTTTCATCCCAGCGGTTGTTACATTTTGTTTTGGAGGTGAGACTGCCACATTTTCATATATAGTCATGCAATTATAAGTCAGTGCAGCATGTTATTCTTTCTTGATTTTGTTTTCATCACATAATAAGTCCCAGTTGTGACAAGCATCCAATTTCTCCTAACAATGAGGTTGCTTGATCAAATAGACGGGCCATGAGAATGCATTAATAAAGATGAAATGTCTTGATGTTTGATCAAATTATCTCAAGTTAAACTCATTATAACAATAGATAAGCATGGGGGAGGTACTTGACATCCTGGTGGAGCCCAGAACTGCAGTCAAGTGCAGCAGGTAACCATGACAACCCTGTGAGCAGTATCTCCTGGCACCCTCATACTGCTAACCAGTGGAAACTATTGACACTTAAAGGGTTTAGACCCTGATTATTGGTCTGGCCCTCAGGAAGAATGGAACCTTTTTTTATAGAGGGTGTTGTTATCTCTCATTTCTTTCTGTAGGTTAGAGTTGTCCAAGGAAAAGAAAGCCCAGTCTTTTTAAACCTTTTCCAAGGAGGAATGATAATTCACAATGGCAGGTACATACATGTATAGTGATAGTGAAGGCAAAAGAAAATTATTCATCCCTTTGCGTTAGAAACTCTCACAGCATTAAAGGAAACCCATTTTTTGTTGTACTAGTGGTTAGTTTTATTGCATGATATTTGCATGCAACAGTGTTGTACAGTTTAATAACCATGATTAATAGATAATAATTATTATACAAAAACCTAAGTGGAAAATAAGAGGGCAGGAATTCCAAGACGAATTTATTTTTGCCAACGGTTCTGTTATTGTGATGACTTCCACAAGGTTTACACAGGCTGTGAATGCTGGTTTTGTGTTTATACAATTGTTGTATTTAATGTGTCAATTTTTGCCAAGCATCAGTTTGGGCTTGATTCTAGGAAGCGGCCTACCTACCCATCCCTTAACCCAATATTTTGCCCTAAAGCGGGAAGTTAGTGTTACTGTTAACTTTGGCTCAGGGGAGGGGTAGGTGGGTAGTTTTTAGCATCTTATACTGATCCTTTATGATTGACCCCAGGGATAGGTGATGTCATTAAAATTGACACCATCTTTGGGACAGTCTTGTCCTTGACCAAACATCATCCTGTGAAACATAATAATTATGACAAATAGGTTTTGTGTCTTGGTCCCACACTTCATCTTTAACAAATGAAAATGTGTCTTAATCTTTACCTTGATCAAAGAAAACGACTTATCAAGAGGTAAAAACTTATGCATGCATTAGGTACAGGTTTCAATGAGACATTTTTCAATACATAATCTACCTCAATGAAGACTGCTTTGGTAACTGATCATTGTCAGATTAGACGTAGAGTATAATATTATTTAAGCATACAGAACTCGCTACAATGATTTGCTTGAGTGACCACCAAACAATATCTGCCAGTGCGCAATTCCCAATGCCCAAAGCAATCTTTATTGAATCAGCTATATACAGTAGAATCTTGGTGGTACAAGGTGCTTACATTGAATTGTTACCACCTGGAGTCCTGAAATCTTGTAGTCTTGTGAAAGATTACTGTTGCTCAAACTTTCAACAAACTAGAAAGTTGACTTTGTCTTTACAGTACCTCATTTTACCCAGATTCTACTGTAATACAGTGTAGCAAAGCTCAGGAACGTGTCTTGCGTCATATTTAGTACAAAAAGATATGTAATGCTTTATAAGTTCAAGGTCTAAGGATGTGAGCCATCTACCACCTTGCATCCACAGCCACATTTCCAAAAGTCTGAACACTGCATGATGCTCATCAAAATATACATACAAATTGCACCAGTTTAGTTCGTATCAACAACGTCCCAGTAACACTGAAATAAAAATTTAAAATTCTTCTCCCTGCATGCTATCCCAATCTTTAAATGGTCACTTGACCTCAGTGCACCCATTAAAATATCTAAATCTTTTTTATTAACTTGAGCAAACAATTCTTATTTCCCGGCCTGAGTGGCTAAAGAATAGTTTTTAAACACCCAAACTTGCATGCTAATTTCTAATAATAATGATGATAATTAATTTGTTGTCATTATTCATCGCACGTTCATCTCACTAATTCTCTCATTAACAGCTTACCCAAGAACTGGTATGACCCACAAACGTAAGTTGGATTCCAGTGCATTTGCTCTCTCTTCCTTCCCTGGGAATCTGGTATAAATAGGGAACTTCATTGTGACATGGTTACAGCTTTACTGAACTCGAGTGAGATAGCTTCATCTGAATGAATATAAGGCTTATTTTATTTAAATACTTACAAATTAAGACAAATCAAGAGGAAGTTTAAAGTCATTTCCTCAAGATAGGAGGGGGATTAGTGGGACATTTTTAAACTTAAACTTCAGTTTTAAAGAATTAAGCTTTAATGTGTGTATTGTCTAAAAAGTTTTTTGTCAAGCTATTCTCAGTGACATCTGACCAGAGGCAAAGGGTAAAATTTTATTGCCGAGTTTGTTGTTTTAAAATACTATCGGCGTGCCGTTTTTTGAAACCAGTGGGATCAAATGAGCACCCATGTGAGTCTATAATATTATAAACTAGTAATAACCAAAGGTTACGGTGTGCGGGCGACAAGACGATCGAAAGTCAAAACGCTTTTACTCTAACGCTGTGTTTTGTGGAAGTTTCACGTGACAGATGGTCGAAACACGCGTGATCAGATTACGAATGATAGAAAGTCCAACCGCGTGTGATCAAATTGCGTTTTTTACATTTCAATCATTCTTAGTGGAAGTCCACGTAAATGCATCGCATGCGTAATAACAACCTGGAGATTAGGATTGCGGCTCCTCTTGTCGCCCGCAACAAATAACGAATGAATGAATGAATAAATAAATAAATGATTTTTTTGTAAATGAATAAACGAGTATGTGAGTTTGAATTTTCCTTTATTCTTTCAATATCAGATTCTTTTTAAGATCATGCATTTTAACCAGTCGTAACAGCAAAGTGATAACAGGGCGAATGGAGTGGAAGCTTATTAGATAAAAGAAATCTTAGGTTTTTTTTAACTGGCTGAATAAATTAATGTCTATCTAAATGTCCTGTATTGTTTCACGGTGCAAGCTGCCTTGCATAACTCATAAAGAGAAGTGTATTGTAATAATTATTACACTTAAGAATTAAAGAAGGTGTTTAAAATTACTATTTTGAATCTCTGCCGAAAACAAATCAACAACTTCATTACAAACTACAATCATTTCAACTGACCGCATTAACGTTAATTTAAATACTTCTTTAAACAGCAGTTGTTTGAAATGAATTGAGTAAAAAAATTTACGAATATTATTAAAACAAATTAATATAATCCATAAAAATATGAAGTAATTTGCAATTCACGAATATTATTAAAACAAATTAATATAATCAATAAAAATATGAAGTAATTTGCAAATAAATTATTTTATCAAGTCCTCTTATCGACTTAAACAGCCCCCCAAATAATAATTAAATAATAATAATAAATTGATCCGTTAGGGTGCACTTGGCACAACACCTGCACAGCACATTTCAGAAACGAGCTCATCTTATCATACTTTAGATAGTTAAGCGCCTCATATAACAGTCAATATTGAGTCCCTCTCACAGCAGCTTGCATTGTATCTTGATAGAAAGAACGCCATTGACGAGACAACAGCAACATTCACTGGTAAGTTAGTCGTTTGTAATAATCCATTACTCAGTTTTGGGAGTAAACGTGATAAAGCAAGAAGTGTTCAGTCGATTTGCATGGCAAGAAATATAGGTCTTAAAATGTCGTCTTTCCTAGCTGGGAGCACCCTCACTTGAGCGAATTCGCGGAAAATTTTGGCGGTGAAGCTACTAGCGCGCGAGAGAAAGTGACCGCCGCAATTTTTTCCCCAAACTCGCACAAGGGGACATTTTCGTAGGCGGCATCACTCCTAATAAGTTACTAAGTACAACGGTTTTGAGAGTATGGAGAAAATTGGTCGGTTTGGGACCTCAATTCTTTTTCTTAGGTAGAAATTTCAAATTTCATCATCCACGGAGGCGTAGAATACAAATTGTACATTAATACGGTGGTTGAGGCGTCAACCGTCAGTAGCTTGGGTGCCCTGTGTAAGTTACGGCCCATAGGTGCCGAGACGGCCAACCTCAGTGTTTTAATTACTTTCTATTAGTTGTGGGCTTTGCTGGTTATGGAGGTTTTCCACTTTAAATTCAAGTTCCCTCAACTTCCAAGTGCATCTGGGTTTTTTTTTGTCATAACTGACCAACCCTTACACTTTCGTATTTCATTGCTTTCTCTATCGCTCAGACAACTCCGCAACTCGTTTGTATGTGATCCGTAATGAAGAGCCCGGTGAAGCCTGCCTGAATCAAGTGAAAGCTAAGTATGTTCTCTTCACGATTCTTTCCAAGACCAAGTTATATAGGATGGTTTTTCACTTTCAATGTTGAAGACGAAATCCTATGTTGTTATCATTCAAATGAAACCTCTTTGGCTGAACGTTTGAATAGTACTGTTTATTTCTATGCACTTTGCAAGAAGGTGACTGTGGAACTTTGTCATTTTGCGGAAGAGATGTTAAGAAACAAAAACATGTTCACGTGACACACCATCACGTTATCACTTACGATTACGGTGTCACGCCATGCAGATGAGTTGCTACTGGGTCTTTGAGGATGTTTCCAACCATTGAAAATGAAGAAATGATCGTCGCAGTGAACGCAATTTATGCAATTGCGTAAAGAAGCCTGAAAAAAATTCAGGACTTCAACGGGATTTGAACCCGTGACCTCGCGATACCGGTGCGATGCTCTGCCAACTGAGCTATGAAGCCACTGACGTTGGGAGCAGGTCAATTGTGGGTTCATATGTTCCCGTGAAAGAAATGAGTGTTAATGATATATGAAATAAATCATATATGAACTGCTGAAATGAAATGAAAATGAAGAAATGATCGTCGCAGTGAACCATTGTTTGATTTTTTGTTGTCAATTGTTTCTAGCTCCTACTCGTTGCGATCACGGACCAGTTTTGTGTTAGTGGTTCGTAAGGAGGCTCATATTTACCTTTGGCATGGCTGCAAGTCAAGCGATGACTCGCGTTCTACTGCTAGAGCAGCAGCTAAGAAAGCACAGGAGAGGTACATGTTAAGCTATTGATACCAGAGATTACTGTTATGGACAGTTCACTAGAGAGCTTTAGATTCTGAGACGAGGACGACTACGTGTGCGAGATTTTCTCAATACCGAGTATTGTTCACGCGTGAACCAGCGTCATTTTGGCGGGAAAACGTGATAGCCTTCGTCATTGTACTACGAGTTTTAGCGAGAATGTCGTAGTAGCGTAAGCAAGTTGTCAAATGTAACAAGTTTTATCATTTTGCTATCGCGAGAGGGCTTAACCTCTTCAGTATAAATAACCCTACTAACTTTTTTGGTGAAAAAAAGTAAAATGAAGCTTTCCGAGGTGTGTTCTTTTTGAGAACACGCACTAAAACGTAACGTTAAATCTCGTACTTGTACTTGTACTCGTTCTCGTCCTCAAATCTAAAGCCCTCTACTAATGCTTTAGCAACAGTAACTTAAAAGTGTAGCTTTTCCTTTGGAAAAAAATGCTTTGCTTGAAAATTACACTTCTAAAAGCTTAGTTACTTTTAAGCTTTGGTTGTTGGCTTCATTGCCCCCCCCCCCCCCCCCCATCCCCCGGCTATTCCAGACAACACACACTTGCTTATCATTATACTGCAGCCATAGCCTGAGAAAACAGCTGACTTTTCGTGACGCCACCAATGGTTTCACCGCGAAATGACGTCTGAGAAACGAGTACAGAAATTCCATACTGATGACATGCCACGAGGGAATAGGCCACCTCCGAGTTCCAAAAACCCTCACTTTCAAAATGAGGCTAGGTGCGCAACCTTTCTTGTGAAAATGAGTTTTAGTTGCATAAGATTGAAAAATGATTTCCATATCAAAGGCTGAGCACCTACCCTCGTTTTGAAACCGGGGCCCCGGGGGAACTCGGAAATGGCCTATTTGCTTCAACTAATCACAAGCACTGCCTAGATCTTGGAAAGGACACGTCATAATTAGGAATTTCTGCGCTCGTTTCTTAGACGTCATGCCGCGGGGAAACCAGTGGTCAGGTGGCGTCGCAAAATGCCTTTGTAAGGCTAGGTCAGCCGTTGTTTGCACCCTTTTATGTGTGCTGGAGAAGTGAGTAATTTGCGGGAAGGTTCAACTCCAGGGCACTTTGACTGGTTAGAGATTTGCGGGGTTACTATTTATGCTTAGTGGGCAAAATAGTTGCAAAACATTTTCTAGTTGCAGTCTGAGTAGCCTCCCACGCAGACGTTCTTTTGGCTCGTCACGTAATCCTCACCAAGGAACGCGTGACAAAGCCCTGAAAACGCATACGTGGGAGGCTACAGTCTTGAGTTCTGACCAAACCAGTTGATTTAGAATTGTTCCACTGGAAAAATGTTACTTGAGGTTTACTTCCCCCTAACTTACTGAACTGCTCGTTTCATTTTAACCCTTTTCTTTTCTTTTCTTTCTTTTTTCTTTTTTCTTTTCTTTTCCTTTTTACAGGAAAAGCGTAGAGTGTAACTTGACTGACTTGTCAGGAATTAGTCTGAGTGAAGTTGAAGAAGGAAACGAACCAGATGAGTTTTGGAAAGCTATTGGAGGAAAGAAGTACTATTGTAGTCTAGCACATGGTAAATATGTCCTCCCCCCCTCCCTTCACTTCCTTCTTCCATTTCTAACAGCAGCCTTTCTTTGGAACTGATTTTTATTTAGCTTAGAGTTTAGTTTCAATACTCGCTGTAGTAGTGTTGTTGCTTTCAATTCCATGGATCCTATAATTTTTTTTAGCCAATCTCAAGTTATTTCTCTCCTATTTGTCACGCTGATGAGGAATGGAGGGGAGCCACTCGAGGCTGCAAAGTTCGGGCCAGGGTCCCGTTTCTCGAAAGTCCCGGTAACTCTTCAGGCCCCGAAAGCTGTTTTGTGTCTGCCAGGGTTGCATTCGAGTTCAAAGTTGTAATGAATGAAAATATCGGTTAACGAAGAAAATCGACTTGTTTGCGAGCTAGGAACTGTGCTACTATTCAACTGGTTTTGATTTCAAAAATTTGCTTTCGGACCCGAAAAGTTACCGGGTATTTCGAGAAACGGGCCCCAGGTGATAATGTCCATTACCAACATAGTGTTATAAGCTACCAAAGAAAGACGAGATCTTGTCCATTCCAGACTTCCATCCATATTATTTTTTGTCTTTCTCTAGATCCCTCGAAACATAATTATCAGCCCCGCCTTTTTGAGCTGAGCAGTGCCACTGGAAAGTTTAATGCCACTGAGGTTTTGTGTCCTGCACGCTCAGAACCAAAGCTGTGCCCTTTTCCATTTCTTCAAGAAGATCTGTATACAGCTAAACAACCAGGTTAGCTAGATATAAAGCCTTAAACCAGCTTTTGGCCGAACAACTTTGTAAATGGTTTTTACCTTATTAGAGTTTTCGGGTTGTCCCAAGTGTAAAGGGAATACTATGAACTCTTTCTAAGCCGAATACTCGGAAAAACAGCTGAATATCTGAAATGTTTGCTTCAACTGAATTCTGATTTCCACTCAAGAAGTATGCGTTTCAGCAAACAAAACCTACTCTGCCCCATATACAACAACTCTACTGAAAGGGGGGGGTGGGGGGGTGAACAATCACGCTCCCCTCTTGAAACAAAGTGTATTGATTGATTGATTAATTGACGGTTAAGGCCCCATTGATTATACTAGGCAGTAGACAATAATACTAAAGAGACGTATTCTGCAAAGTTTACATTACCATAGTCGAACGTATATGCCTTTGTGAGTTTGTGTGGGACTGGGCCAGTGATGTGACGAATTGTTTTATGCGACTGTTTTATAGACGCTTTCATCTCTTTGATTGGCTATATATCAGAAAGTTTCACAAGAGATGTGGTCAACATTCATCTCCCAAAAAGTTGCGTAGTGCAATTCGACGCAAGATGATAAAAGATCGACCAAATCTAAGATGATTAATGTTCAAATTGTTCGTTTATTTTGTGTAGGATTGTTCATAGTCGATGGATATTATGATGTCTATGTTTGGGAAGGATGGATGCCAGAGGATGATGATGATGTAAGAACTGGATCAGGGAGACAGCGATGGGACAAAGATCGACGACTTGCTATGGAAACAGCTCTAAACTATGCTAAAGGTTTGTTTTCAAGTAATCTTTGCATCATTTGTTTTTCCAAGATGTTTTTCATCTGGCGTTGATTGCCATTTACGTGGAAAAACCCGTCGGATGACTTTTTGGGCAAATGATAAAATTCTGTCGGGGAATCGTATTCCCCCTTACACAAATCAGTCACGTTTTACGAAAAACGGCCACTTGATGGAATGGAACGCGATTTTCCATGTGGAACGTACCAGGCAGGAAAACAGGACTTCAGACGTGACACTGGTCCCGAAAGTTTTCCTTTGGAACGACCCCAAAAGTCCTGTGTCGTCTACTTTTCAACCGGAATATCAGATGACTCTGTGAATGCTAGACCCACTCCCCCCCCCCCCCTTGTGTTGTCAAACAAAAACCAAAGTAATTCTAGCCAATCAAAGAGCGAGTAAGCAATCACTAAACCAATCACATCGTGAAGCAAATCCATGAACCCGGCGCCGTGCCAAAGGCGGAAAAAGAGAACCAGCGGGAAGTCAGGATCAGTTTTTTATATTTCACTCTGTCTGATGTTTATAAAGGAGCAACATATATTTTGGCTGTGATAAAGAGTAACAATGCAAAAGAAGGGTGGTGGGAAACAACAGTAACCTTCGGCATTCAATTGGAAAACACTTTTACTGAATTTTTTTTATTTTGCAGAAGCTGGAAAGCGAATTTCGCACCGAGTATATGTGGTTTATGCTGGCATGGAACCGATGACTTTTAAAGCCCTTTTTCCTTACTGGAACGATACACCTGATGTAATTAGAATACAGAAACAGGTTTGTAATTTTACTTTGTATACATTTACAAACTTTTTCTCCATTTTATTGTCAGTTCAGCGTCTGATTTGTTCAGGAGGCAGCAAGGGGGCCGAGTGGTCAGAACGCGCGATCCTGGGCTCGAGTCCCGCTCTAGCCACTTCCGGCTTAATATGTTCGCGGTTGCCCCGAGTTCAAATCCTCGGTCACGCTCGTAAATAGCCAACTGGCTGCCTCCTGTTAGTTGTGGAGGCCAGAATCTTATACTCATCTCTCTCAGTCTTAATGTCTGATTATGTACCTTTAGTGATCGTGTAACAAGACAATCACATAATTGCAACGTGTGTCATTTTTACAGGATGGTAAGCAGCCAAACGTCAGACACTCTGCCAGCGAACTGCTACATCAGTTCACAAAGTAAGTCTCACAATAAACAGACAACTTCAAACCAAAGTTTTTCCTATACTAAACTGACGCCGATATAACGAACCTCTTTAATATAGCCCCGGTATAACGAACAAGGTCTTTGCCCCAAATGAAGTAAAATGTTTGGATAAAGCCTCGAGGCAGGAAGAACGGCTGAAATCAGAGACTCCGAAGAGCTCCGTGACAGCTTAAATTTCGGTTTAATACTTCATCACCTCAGCTGTTTATTATTGGGTTTAGAGGTGTACATGTCACTCAAATACTACCTATTGATTGGTTGTAACGTGGATGAATATTTAATAAATGTGCTTTCGAAAGCTCTTTGGTGTCTTGTGTGAAAAGACGTGTTTTAGTGTGCTTTTTTAACATATCATAATTTGCGTTCCTAGGGACTTTTACTCTCTGGCTGAGCTTCAGAAGACTCCCCCTCCACAAGGTGTTGATCCTGCTAAACTGGAAGCTTATCTGAGTGATGAAGACTTTCAAGTAAGCGCAGAGCACATTCTCCACTTTATTAACTATAATTTTCCTATGGTCGGTCAAGCCTTTGGGAATGGCCAACTGACCGTTTACACGTAATACAGGTTGAAAGTTGAATACAGTTTTTCAAAATGAAGATGGCGAAAAGGTGGAATCAAAATATGTCAACTCCTTCGTATGTCAAACGAAGGAAAGTTAGAGACCACTGAACGCCATGCACATTGTATTCATCTAATTTCTAGTAATGTGTATAGACCATGTAATAGATGTGAAGACAATCATATCTGGATGACAGCTTAATACAGGTTTGACTGTGATGATAAGGAGAATTTGTTTAAGACTCAACTTTTCCCCAGTTTTACTGTCCCTGTTTTTGTTTGTATGTATGATTGTCCTGTGTTCAAAGCACGGACACGGAAACATCATCATGATCGTCGCAGTTCTACAATATTGGACGGATTAAAGCCGTGCGAGAGCGAAATCGCGCCATTTTCCCAACCTTGATCTGGGGGGTGGGGTTAAGGGGTTGGATTGGGTCTAAATTTTCCGTCTGTTTTGTTCAAGATCGTAGTCCGTCATATTCTTTGTTGCTTTGATTAATTGATTGATTGAATGATCCATGTTAGGAAATTTTCAAGATGGACAAAGAAGCATTCAATAAGCTACCAGGCTGGAAACAAGTGAACCTCAAGAAGGCTGTTCGTCTTTTCTAAAATGTCTCCGTGGGACATGTTGCCATCCCAAAATGAATTGTCCCTCTCTAAGGGTGACAAAGGCCAGTCCCACCTAAAAAATGAGGTCATAAACAACATGTTTCCCTATTCAAACAAATAGAGTGTCAGTTTAGTGTCAGGATACACATAGCATTGAAGAGGAAGAATTTGGCACAGACATTCCAATAGACCAAGCATAACTTACTGATATCATTCCTTTTAAGCGCGAAAAACGCTCACTAGCAAGATTGGTTTTGTTTTACTAACGGTAGGTTACTTTGTGCGTCATAAAAGCCAATCAGAAAACATATAGTACAAAAAGCAAACATTTGCTTTTAGCTGTCAGTTATAAAGAACGTCCCATACCAAATTGATATATATAAAAATATTGCCTTTATATTACTTGGAAAATCTCCTTCCTCGGCTTTTCAAAAAAACGAAAAATTGTAAAGGTAGACTGTGTACTTGTAGACCAGAGGAGAGGTACTGGTCAAAACTGTACAAAGACAGTATTTTAAGAAAAAGATGTACAGCTATATAAAGTGATCATCATTATTATGTTAAATTTCATGTTTTTATTTTTTCGAGATCTGATGATAAGAGGCATGCATCATGGTTTGTGACTGTTATGTAGTTTTAAAGTTTTAAGGCCTGTTCTTATTTGGAAGATGGTCAAGAGCTTAAATTAGGCCAAGAAAGATGCGTCTACATTCTGATTGCTGACTCTGGTTTCTCTTTCTTTTCTACGTGAGAGAAAACAAGGCTGAAAACTTTCAGCGAATATTTTGAACTAAATTTTAGTTTGAGCAGAAATCCTGAGCATATGCGCAGTTACTTACTGTCACAAGCTCACAAATATGTTCGTGCACCAAGCCAATTATGTCACAAACTGCAGCTATTTGAGCCTCTTTGTGAAATTTGTATGAGGTAATTTTACTTAGTTGTACACAACTGGTTACACGTACATGTAATATTTCTAAGATATACACCCGTATATAGCTTTATTTTTATGCTTTTATTTTTGCAGTTCTAAAATTGCACGTCGTTCGAGTTTCATGCATTTTTATTTTTATTTTGTCCGATTTGTATGGTCATATTTATTTTTTCTCTTAATTTATTTCTTCGCCACAAAAGATTTTATGTATACTTAAGTTGCGCAGTAGAGCACGTTTGTGTTTATTGTCATTCAACTGGCTTTGCTGGTTGGTTTTTGTGAGGTTTTGTTGTTTTTGTCACCATGTAATTAAGTATTCAGGTCTCTCTTATTTAGTTAAATTATGAACAAGCTGAGTACCTTTGTTCTTTTTTTAGGAGTTTCTTGGAAATCCTTTTCCTTTCTGGTTTTTGTTTTGCTTAACAAAAAATGTTCTTTCTTTATTTCAATAATATGCTCTGTGACCTGCTGTTAACCTGTTCTCTTTTAGTATATTAACTGGTATAGTTATAAAAGTCGAGAGCGTGCGTAGTTTTTGTGTGTCGTATTCTGGTCAATCACAACAAGTGTTGACAGTTCTCTGAACCAATCACAACTGGAAGAAACAGAGAAGTGTTATTTCACGTTACCATGGTAGCAAAATGTCTATTTCTCAACAACCCTTCTTGACAGAGACGGCCATTTGCATTGTCGAATGGTGGAAGAAGAGTATGGGCTACCCGTTTTGTTCCTGAGTGCAATCATGCACAGGAAAGTCATACTTGTCAGTTTTTTCGTTCTTTTTCTGCCATATTTGTAGGACCGCGGTTTGTTGATGCTACCCCATGGCAACGTGACGTAACAATTCTTTCCCTATATTGCACGTGGCTCGTGCTAGGGGCGGGAAAACGTATGTGATAAAGTTATAACTGGTTGTAGTCGTACTTGTTATTGGTGAACAAAGTTTAGTTAGTTGCAGGGGATTTCTATATACCTCCCAATCCAAAAGAATTACAATGCGATACCAAAGCAATTAAGAAAATATTACGGCACATGAAAAATACTTCTCGTGCTTATTTTATTTTTAATCTTGAATTAACTTTCATCTTGGAAGCCCATGCGAGTGAAAAACACCGTGCTTGGTGTTTTGCTGTCAAAAAAATCGTTCCAGTTCAGAAAGCAAATTTTTAAAGAATAAGAGAAAAGTGCCGCTAGAAACGTGAGACTAACTTGAGAATTAAAAGTACAAAAGATATTAGTAAGTGCTCTTTAAAGCTTCGCCCTTTTTAACATCATCTTTAACCAAGAAGTGGTGACAAAAAGTGGAACATAATTATGATAGTTTGAGTGTTGAGTTATTGAAAGGTTTAGGAAACTGAAAAATATTCAGCTTTAAGAACATTGTAAATTTATAATTAGTACTGTAGTTAGAACTTAGAGTCATGAGGTTTCTGTACATCGGTGAAAATATATAGTTTTAATTGCACTGCGCTAATGAAGAAAGGACTGTAATTTTTACATTGCAGTAAATGTCTTTTCATTTGGGAGAAAATTGTATATAAAGAATCAAAATTATGAAGGTGAATAAATGAAATATTATGTTGCCCCGGTGGGAAGTACAGAATGATATACAAGCTTGAAGTATGTAATAAAAAATGAATTTGACCACGTCCAAGGTGTTGTTTACTTGCATGTCATTAATCATAGACAGGGATCAGCCATCTTTTGTCACAGGTAACAATGTTGGCTCCATTGCTCTTTTTGTACAAATGGGTGGGGTGGGTCGGGCAAGAAAGGTTCCTGACCAGCCGCGGGATCATTAGCTCAGTTTGCCGAGCACTATTAAAGCCCTGCCGTACCAACAACCAGGGTCTTTAAAAAGCTGGTAAGATCATGCCGGCTGTGATTCAAGACCTCGTCAGATGATTGCGTCATTGGGTGGTGACGTTAAGTAATTGATCCTGTCTTATCAGCGGGAAGGGGACTCAAAAGCACCCACACTGCTGTTTGGAAAGAGTAGAGGACCTAGACCTCGTAGGTGTGGTCTATCTTGATGCAAGATCTTGTCTCAGTTCAGATGATTCAGCCTCATTGGGCTGTGACGTTAGGCAATTCACCCTGTCTTATCAGTTACGCTGCTGTTCGAAAAGAGTAGGGGACTTAGACCCTGTTGGCATGGTCTATCTTTCATTTCTGGAGGGGACCCTTACGCGCCCGCAGCAATTCGCGTCATGCGCTGTTGCGTTGACCCTGTGAAAATTGGCGAACCTAAGTAAATGCTATTCAAGGCATTTCCAGCATGTATAAAATAAGCGAGTCGCCCCATGTAGTGGAATCCACGACAGTCATGGATCCTGGATTCCACGTCGTGGATTTCGGATTCCCAGTACTGAATTCCCATTCTTTGCCAGTGGAACTTGGATTCCAGACTCCAATCGTTAAGTGGGATTCCGGATTCCTTAAGCTGTTTTCCGGATTCCAAAGCCCAGTATTCCTAATTCATAAGTAAAATTTCCCGGATTCCGAAATCCAATTCCGGAATCCGGATTCCCTTATATGGAGCGAAAACGACGCTAGATAGGCCACTTATTTTTAACGAAGTAGCACAGCCATTAAAAACTGCTTTGAGCTCAAATTTTCAGGGATAACTTATTCTTCTATGATCTCAATATTCAGAGCAGGTCCATTTTAATTTTTAAGGAGCCTTATGATAAGCATATCAAGCAAAGGAGGGAAAATTGAAAGCAATTTTCGAACAGCGAAAAAAAATGTTAACTGACGCGTGTAAAGTTAAATTTATTTTCGAAAGCACAACGTTTTTACAACTGTCCAAAGCTATTTTAGATACTCATGCATGGTTCTCCACAATCGCTAAACACGCCATGGTTTCAGTTTTTCCTGAAAGATAAAAGAAATTAATTGTGTAAATTGGACATTGTTGTTAACCTAAACGTAAGCAGTCGCCTTTCTGGACAACAGTCACAACGTACGTTTATCATCATTATCGATCAACATGACGATTCTTGGAGGACAGATGGTGGAAACATTTTTTTAATGTTCTTTTAGTCAATAAGTACGTTATCTGGCTTTCAGAACTAAAAGAACAATCTCCTTGACTTTTGACCTCTCTGACGTATCGTTTGCTCATCTCTTGGCCATGAATACTCCTGCCTACATTTTGAATTTTCTGATGGTTTTCACTTATCTTTTTTTCTTTATCTATACGAAATATGAATACATTAGAATCAATCAACTTTTTTCCCTTTCCGAAAAAAGCCTTTTTATAACCTTCACGAACCCTACTTTTCACTGGCTTTGCCTATAAGAACCAAGCATTTCTTTCCCTGATTATTCAAAAATTCCTTGACTTAATAGAAGTTGTTGTGATCTTTTATATGACATGTAAAAATAGAAGCTTATTTTACAGAATACCAACGGTTATTTTATCATAGCAGAAACTCATAAGGGGTTGAGCAACCCCTTATGGGTTTCTGATCATAGCCAATATTACCATAACAGACCTCTGGAGCTAGGATAAAATTTTCCCTGGTATGACCCTAAGTTGATATCTTTTTTTTTTTTTGTATTTCCCTATCTTTTCCTTGATCATAGAAACCCTAACTTTGTTTGCAGCGACAGATTTGTGTTCACTAGTAGTTGCACAACTTACCATTACTTAAGTTAGGTAGTACTTCCTGATGATGACGTCACAGATATTTTTGAAGCAATAGAAGGTTTGGTTTGGCCAGGTCCATCAGGCATTGGAATGCTAAATGATTCATACGAACTGCGTCGGGACATGCTAAGAACAAGATATTTGGTTTATTGACAGGATTACTGCCATGCTCCACTGTGCTGTGTTGTGTATGTACATGTTTATGTTCTTTTTTTCCTCATACAACTAATGCAACTTCTACCCTCCGAGCAGAGGCTACATTTTCGCGGTGTGAGCTGTCGTGCGAAAAGTAGCCTCTGCCGGCAACGGCTCAGATCCGTCAAGAAATCTGGACGAATAAATTGAAAAAACGGTTTTTTTTCCTGTTCTTAACCGGTTTAAGGCATTGCGTGATTCTTGTGTAGCAGATCAGAGTTGTCGCAACTTTTTTATTCCCGCGAAACTCGCGCCATTTGACGACAGACAGTGACGATTAATTTTGCTTGCGAATAGTGTGACGAATTTCGCGCATGCACGATAGAAAATTGAACGGTCTTCGGCAGAGGCTACTTTTCGCACGCCTGCTCACACAGCGAAAATATAGCCTCTGCTCGCAGGGTATGCCACTTCTCACACAACCGGTATAATTACCTTCTGTAAGGGTCATTTCTTAAAGCAGTACTTGATAGTACAACATCGGCCGTTGTCATAGCAAATTCTTTTTGTAATAATGAACGTTTTCTGTGGAGGAAAAAAAAATGAAAACTCTATTGTTAATATATTGCACACTACCCGACAGGACGTTGTGTTGCAGGCATGAAGTCCAGATACCAGGAAACCTATGGGACGGGTTGTTCAAAGCTTGGTTAGGATAACCTTTCATAGTCTCTGTAGGACGTCTTCCCAGGCCTTCTCGGTCAATGCATCATTGATTGCGACGACAAAAAATGAAAGAACGATATTGCGCATGAATCTGACATCCAAAAAAGATTTCACCGCTTAGATGTAAGTAACACCACGGATCCTCTCAATAGTGTGCTGGCGAGCTTTTTTGCTGCCTCGCTAAAGCTCGCCAGCGATAAATAAACTAAAAACTCCGTTAAAGGTCAGCGATTTCGCCAATCAGCCAGAATAAGAAAATGTTAAGCTCAGGGCGAACACGCAAGGCCGGGGTTGTGGCGGAGATGGTAATTAATGACAACAATTCAAAGCAGAAAAGAGCCCGCTGAATGAGTAGGAGATGCATGTAGTAAAAACCTTGGCATTCAGAGGTCCACTCAACGCTTAATTAAAACCGATTCGGTTCTTTCTTACCGAATCCATGATGTAGAGATGTTAATGCCAGGCGTCGCTTGAAGTGGGAATTAAACCAAAACTGACTTCAAGGCTGGTGATACGGCAAAGGACTGATTTATTTGAAGCCAATATTTCGGCTAACAAAATTAGCCTTCCTCAGGACCAGAGCTACACTGAGAGCTCTGGCCCTGTGGAAGGCTAATTTTGTTAGCCGAAATATTGAACTCAAATAAATCAGCCCTTTGTCGTATTGCCATCCTTGCATTCAGTTTTGTTTTTAAGAGATGCATAATATACCAATGGATGTTGCAGAAGAGCCTCTGTAAAGAGTAAAGCTTCTTTAATACCTCTTTCGAACAAGGTGTATCAGCGACATTACAAGGGCTGTTATAAAAGCTGCTACCAGCGCTGCAACCACTACCACTGTGGGGACCCTAGTCGGCGCAGGTGAAACTGGGTGACCAATAATACTGGCATATTTACTTGTTACTGCAATTTTAGTGCTCGAGTCTTTAAACTGAGGGGTGTCAGATGACGAGAGAGCTGAAAAAAAGAGAAGCATTAAATAAATAACTCGAGCGAAGATCAACGTACGCAGCTACCATGATGCAGTGAGAAAGGCTAGGGAGGCTCATTTAATACACAAAGGGAACCCATTTATCTCCTCTAGGAATAAATAGGCGTGACGAAGCTCACTGATAAATGGTGCCACCTAGTCTACTACACCAATAACAATCTATTGTCTTTATTTTCATATTTTCAAACTCTTATCTGTAACGAACTTTTAGTTTTATCTTCATTTTTCTTTTAGCCCCTGAAGAAGGTTTGTTTTTAACTAGAAATATTGCGCCAGTTTTTTAAAAAATATATACTTTTTTGTTTTATTCTTTTGTTTATTTCTTCATCGCCTTTCCGTAAGGATCAGTTTGCCTTTTTATGATTTAGATGAATCTGAGCACTGAGCAACCACCTAACGCGTTCTTAGGGACGGACCACTAAGAATGTTATGGGGGGGTCGGGATTTTTGGAGCCGCGAGAATTTTTACTTTTCCCTTGCACGAATATATTTTCTTAAGCTTCGCACCCCCCCTCCCACCCCCCACATGATTTTTTTCTTCTGATCTGTCTCTTAGGTAGACTGTTAATGAGGCTTAACTGTTAAAGCACTCGTGGTATTAGTAACCGAAAGTTTTCAACAAAAGCACGCAATTCAAAAGTTCTGCGATCACAACTGTTAACAACTTCGCATTATTGTTTTTAACTGTCCACAGCAAGTAATCGAGAATCCGGGGGCCGCTCCGGTCGAAAATATACTTATGCCGCTTCGTTTTTTTCCCCAGGCTATTTTCGGACGTTTTTTTTTTTTACAGATCTCATCTGTGGAACTGATGTATTGTCACTTGCGCTCTGATTGGCTAGCTCGAACGTGAATGACAGTTACTGCTCCTATTTCTAGTGATATGAACAAGCCGCGAGGCTTCGCGAGGCTATTTATAAAATTGTTTGCTATTCACGCCCCATTTGAATTCTAAATATCATCCCTGGGGATTAATTATGATATGAAACTGAGTATAGATAAAGGAAAAAACTGGTACGCTTTGTCCCATTCACTTCATTGTGTCCGACACGAAGGGCGATTGGCGACCCACCCGCCCTCCCGAGCGAGTAATGAGTCGGTTTCCAGACTAAGTCTGTCTTGGGCTTGTCCCAGGTCAGATTGATTCCCCGTACCTTATAATGATGTCATGAATAACAATACCCAGGGATGAATATTATACTAAACACTACAACAATTGTCCACTTCCACTTCACTAAAAAAATAAAGAAATTCACATGTACTATATTATTGAATGTATCCTGTATCAGTTAACACCCTTACCACTAACGCCATCATTCCTCGTTTTGTGTACTTCGTTGTTTGAGTAAAGATCGTAATAATTTTGGGCACGACCTGAAATGGTAAATTAAAACAGTAAATACGTTAGAATAACTCATAAAAAATCGAAACGATTTGTCGATCATAAGTTTTATGAAGAAGGTGGTAAAATTAAAAAGAACGACTGCACAGAAGACCTCATTAAATATTCTATTGAAAATTCCAAAACGGGGCGCTCCTGCAACATCATATGATTTCAGTGTTCTGAATATTTAAAGAGATCTTTTTTGGCCATAACTATTTTGTAATAACCAATCTCACCCAGACCTTTTTGCCACAGCAAAATACTGTTGACGGTGACTCCGAATAAGACAGCAGCTAGATCGCTGATTCGCATTTTAACAAAATGATCACGAGCCAGCTAGGTAGCTGCGTCAGTCTAAAAGGTACATTTGACTTCAAGAATTTCGCCTGACATTTTTCTTTGTGTCAAAAGGATGCTATTTGCTTTAAAGGGTGAGAAAAAACTCGCTCGGGATTGTTTTCAAAGAGCGCGAGCTTACCTTTATGACGTAATATTTTTTTCATTCGATTTGTTCTTGAAAAAAGAATGCGCGAGCCTGCATTAATTTTGAACGGGATCATCATCCAGCGCAGGGTGAAAAATACAGAAGCCGGCTTTCAAATTAAACAGGCTCCAGGCCAACTCGTAAATTTTAGGTATAAATTTATCAACTTTCTCTCTCTCTCCCCTTTAGAGCCTCCCCCTCGAAAAAAAAACATTAAACATAAAAAACAATGACTAAGATAAGGTATCAGCGTATTTTACATCTTTCCTACAATGAGGTAGCAAGTAAAAATTCTAAATCCTTAGAACAGCGGGTCCAACTGATTCAGATGATATGTGACTTGGCTCTCCACAAAACTATTTCCGTATAACCCCATACATTTATTATGCATACATGCTTCGACTCTATTCATATTATACTATCTGTGAGGAAAAGTATGAAATTGCTGCAGTAATAATAAATGTATGGGGTTATACGGAAATCTTACCACAAAACCTTCAAAAGTAAATTTCAGTGTTTACAGGTCGGGATCGAAGTGCCGAACCACTTACACCAAGAATGAATAATAACCCATTATTGCCTCTTAAATACGCTATATTGTTACCCTTTTGCAACTAACAATTTAAAGAGAGGATACACTCATATTTAGAGGTTGAACCTCTCCAAATGACTCGAGCTCCATGCAAGCCCTTAGACCAACCAATTAACTGCATGTAAGTTAGGGCTGAAGGCTAACAGAAGCATGCGAGGAAACTGATCGACAAAATGCTTTACTTATGAAGCTGAGAGGCACTCTCAGGGAACTTGACATAAAACTGTTAAAATTACGAGTGAGTATTTTTTCTTTGCCAAGAGTTACCTGCAACACATACCAACGAGATAACTTTTCAAGTAACAGTCAATGAATAGAAAGAAAAAATATTTACTGTTTTTAGATTTGCCCGAGAAATTAAAGATAACACAACTTAAAAAACTCTTAACTCTTTGGCCTAACGTTGTTCGTTCCCTGTTGTAGATTCTTGGGGTGTCCTGCTTTTTAATCCATTTTAAGGTCAAATAAAGAGTCAATCCTTTCTTACTTTGTGATAAAATTAGTAGCTTTAAATCTCTCACTTTTGAACAAAAAAGCTGTCCCTGGGGTGTCCTCCCTTATATAAACCATATAGGTATGTGCTGCCCCAAGGGGTATGGTTTTTGAAACGGTTTCGGTCTGAAAACAGATATAGACTTTACCCATTTTGGACTGGAATCTGGTAATACGGGAGTAGTGTATCAATGTATTTGTCGTCTCAATCCCAAATGAATCAGAAAAAAAGAGTAGTATGCGAATTCGAAATGGATTTTAAGAAATCTTTTTGTGGGCGTTCTAATCTAAGTAATGGAGGGATTTGGAATCACTTTACGGTAAACGTTGAGTTTCACTACCTTACCAAGTTTTCCCGCTACTTTTCGTTTTCTTACTACGGACAAAACATTACAGTATCATGTCAGGGTAATCCACGAGACTTACTTTGCACAGTGTTTAACTATTTATTTCCTTATTTGAAACATTGTTAACTTAAACGTGACGTTAGCCGTTTACCGTAAACGTAATTCCAAATCTCTCTACTAAAAGATGACATAAATTCTTGCCTTGCTGGGTCAGTCAAAAAAAGATATGGCTCTGGTTGTTCAAACGTTGGATAGCGCTATCCATCGGATAAATCACTATCCAGCCGATAAGTATTGGGGAAATCAATTGCGTTATCCAGTGGATAGAGATTAATCAATCGGAAAGTGCTATCCACCTTTTGCCGAACAACTGGGGCATGGACTTTTAGAGGCTAGGTCTCAAAACGGGTGTGTAAAATAACTTTTTTGCACTGAAAAAGGTTCGGGATTTGGAGAATTGGGCGGCACACCCCCACCAAGAATTCCCTTGAGTACCCCCCGGGAAGCTGTCCCACTTTGTAATACTGTACCTGTCGCGCTTAGTAAAATAGTATTGTAACTCAGGGCTTGCTTTTATATCGTTTATAAATGTATTAAAAAGTTACAAAAATTTTAATAGCCACTTATTCTCCTGATATACATCCACTATAACTACTGTTACGCTCATGTCTATAGCATTTTTCTTTCACTTTACAAACTATTCTTCTTG